CCCCCCCCCCCCCCCCGCAGAATGCCCGCCACGTCCCACCCAGGGCTCACGGGGCTCCCTGCTGAGTGCTGGCTGCATGTGACATCCGGGTCTGGTTCCCAGCCGTGAGGGGGAGCCTGGGGGGTCCGTGGGATCCGAGGTGCAACCGTCCTGTGAACGCACCTTCGGGCCTGGATGAGCCGCTTCACCAGTGCCATCTTGCTCTGCAGCTGAGCCAGCTTGGTCTCCTGGTCCAGGGGGCTCTTGGCCTTGGCCTTGGCCAGGCACTTGCAGGCCTCGGTCAGTGCCCCGTGGGCTTTGTCGTAGTTTTGGTATTCATCGATCTCCACCTGCAAGGAGGAGACCCGTCAGGGCCCGCAGGGGTCCACGAGCTGCCCCGGGGGCGGGGGGGACCGGGGAAGGGGGACCGGGGACCGGGTGGAGGGCGTGTACCTGGGCGCAGGCCTCGTAGAAGCTGGCCAGGAGGTCCAGGGCCCGCCCCTTGGTGTAGAAGCTGATGATGGTCTTCATGATCTCCGGCTCCTTCCGCCAGTCCAGGGACTGCAGGTAGTTGGCAGCCATGATGTAGATCTCCTTTTGCCTTGAGACGCCCGCAAAGAACACGATCTTCTCCGTGTCCCCCGACTTCAGCAGCGCTCTCATGGCCTAGACGGGGAAGCGCCAGGCAGGCTCACGAGGATTTCACCACCAGAGGGAGCTCAGGGCTCCTTGGTCCCTGCAGGACGCAGGCAAGCCCGGGCAGGGACAGTCCGTCGGGCTTAAACTCGCTTAAACTCGGGGCAAGCGGAGATGCGAGCCGCGGGCACGTGGGTGCCACCCCGCCGGCGGGCGTGCTCACCTTGAGCTTGTTCCCCGCCTGCGTGTACTTCTTGGTGGCCAGGTGGTAGCTGCCCTGGCGCATGCAGCAGTTGGCGATCTGCTCCAGCAGCTGGCGCCGAGACTCTTCAGACAGGTCCTTGGAGTCCTTGGGCACGGTCATCTTCTCAGCCATCTCCTCGGTGATGGTCATGTTCTGCTCCAGGCAGAGCTGCAGGGCTTCGTGGTGCTGCAAGGTGCCGGGGGGGAGGGGCGGGAGGGGCGGTCACCACGGGGCCCGGGGCGGCGGCTCACCACGCAGAGGCCGACGCTCAGCCGGGTGACCGTGTCACGCTATGCACTATGCAGGGCAAGTGGGGGGCAGGGAGCCCCAGAGCACACTGTCCTGCTTGTGGGAGGAAAGAGAAGCCAGAAATTGATTTTCTTCCACGATTCTTCTCAAATTTTTAAGTTAAGGGTTTGAATTAATTTTCTTAAAAATTTAGGGGAAATTTTGTATCCTTCACTTGAGGGCAGGTCTTGGAGGAGATGCCACCTCTGTGGTTTGGACGGCTGCGCGGTGCTCCACCACAAGAGGACGCTGGCTCCTCGCCGCCCCGCCCACAGGTGCACACCTGCCTCGTCACGCGGGTACAGCCCTGGCGTGCCACTCCCACGGCCGTCTGCCAGTGCGCTGTTGGGACTGATCCCGGGCCAGGATGGGCAGTGCCTGCTGCGTTCCTGTCCTGCCCAAGCACACCTGTGTCCCACGACAATCCAGGGGGTTTGCTTACCTTTTCACCTTCATGGGTGGAATCCGGGGCAAACGGGATCTCCGTGAGTTTTGATTTGTATTTCTCTTATTACGAACGAGGCTAAGAATCTGATGTGCTGGAACCACCCACATTTCCTTCCTTTTTTTTTTTTTTTTTTAAGTTTACTTATTTATTTTGGGGGGGAGGGGAGAGAGAGAATCCGAGCCATCCGCAAGGAGCCTGACATGGGGCTCGAACTCACGACCCTGGGATCATGACCTGAGTTGAAATCGACAGTCAGATGCTTAACTGACAGAGCCACCCAGGCGTCCCCACCTACATTTCCTTCTTATAAGAAACTGTCCATAATCTTTGTCCTTTCCTTGTGAGTTGCTGGTAAATTTCCTACTGTTTATAGGAACTCCATACATATTAGGAACAGGACACTTTGGGATAGAGGTAGAACATATCTTTTCTCATTTTATTATTTATCTTTACTTTTTTATGGTGTTTTTTCCACGTGTTATTTTCAAATTTACATTTGGTTACATCAATGAGTCTTTCCCAGTGGGTTTTGAATCCTACTCAGAACACACCTTCTGTGTTTTCAGACTGTACGAGACGTCCTGTGGCTTTCGGTGCTGGCTGCCGTTTCACTGGCACACTTAAATCGTAGACACATCTGGAACTTGCTGGGACACAGGAGACGAAGAGGGTTTACTTGAGTGTTTTCCCAAGTGGCTGCCTCGTTGCATCAACCCCTTTGAGCGGACGGTTCACCTTTTGCCCCCGGTTGTGAAGCGCTCCTCAGCACCTGCTAGATGTGCCTACGTAAATGGTTCTCCTTCTGGGTTTTCTAATATTTTCCACTGACCCGTAGGCCTGCTCATGGACTCGACCTCAAGTGTTCTATCTCCGATGCGTTTTACGATTTTGGGGCCTCGTCACCGCTTGTTAATCTTCTTCCAAATTTTTCCCGGCTGTTCTGGTTTATCTGGGTTTCACTGTGAAACTACAGAATCCACTTATCTGGCTAGAAAAAGCCCTGTGGTGTTTTTGCTGGCTCAGATTAGGCCTGGGGCTGCCTTAGGGAGGGTGGACATGTGCATCTATCTGCTGGGTCTGGCCATGAACCCGGCACGTGCCTCTTACTTGGGCGAGAATTCTCGTGTCGCTCACCAGGGAGGCACGAAGCTACAAGCACAATTGTGGCTTCAGGAAGAAATAGCTTTCAATTTGGACAGGCTGATTTCGCATGGCTAACAGGTTTCTTCATCTCCATTCAGTGGCTATCAGGGACAAGCCTTCTACTTAGAGTATGGCTGCAACACGCCTGAGAGTGCTACCAACAAGTGACGGTTAGGACGTGGCAGGACGGGAGCCCTGTGCACGGCTGCTGGCAATGAAAACCGGGGCAGCGGCTGTGGAAGACGGTCTGGAGGGTCCTCAAAAAACTAGAACCGAGTTGCCAGATAGTCTGGTAATTCCGTTTCTGGGTAAATGCCTGCAGGAATTGAAAGCAGGGTTGGAGAGAGATTTGTACAACCGTGTTCACAGCAGCAGTATTCACAGGAGCCAAGAGGTGGAGGCGAGCCAGTGTCCGAGGGCAGGGAAACGCGAGGCACTGCCTATGCGGAACGGAGTACTACTTGGCCTGAAAAAGGAAGGAGGTTCTGACACCTGCTACAGCACCGATGAACCTTGACGGTACGACACTCAGTGAAACAAACCGGACCCACGAGGGCAGATCCTGTATGATTCCACTTACGTGTGGTCTCCGGAGTCGTCAAATTCATAGAGGCAGGAGGTAGACGGTGGGTGCCGGGGCTAGGGGAGGATGGGCAGCTGGCATTTCAGGGGGACAGAGCTTCGGTTTTGCAAGATGAAACGAGGTACGTGGAGACTGCACCACAATCTCAACGCACTTGACACTCAGAAAGAGCAGGGCACCTGGGGGGCTCAGTCGCCTAAGTGCCTGACTCTTAGTTTCGGCTCAGGCCATTATCTCATGATTCGTGAGTTTGAGCCCCATATTGGGCCCTGACAGCACGGAACCTGCTTGGGATTCTCTCCTCTCTCTCTCTCTCTCTCTCTCTCTCTCTCTCTCTCTCTCTCCCGCTCTCTCTGCCCCTCCTGCGTGTGAATGCTCTGTCTCTCTCTTTCTCTCTCTCTCTCTCTCTCTCTCTAATAAATAAAGCTAAAAAACTTTTTAAACACACTTAGAAAATAGCTAAGATGCTAAATCTGATGTCATGTGTGTTTGCCGCACACACGGAAAGGACGAGCACGCCGCCCTGGTTACGACGTGAAGACTCACGAAGGGGCTGCACGGGTGAGCCCGTTCCCAGGCTCCAACACCCCCAGGACAGGCCAGAGCCACAGCCTTCTTGTGAAACCGTAACCATGAGAGACGGCAAAGCTACATCCACCGTGTCTGGAAAAGGGGGCCCCGGGCTTCGGTGCCTGAGTGGGCGCCACGCGGGGGCCCCAGGCCGTACCTTCTTTGCGGCCAGGAGCAGCTCCACCGCCTTCTCGTACTGATTGTGCTCAAGGAAGAAGTCCGAGCAGCGGGCCAGGAGGGCAGGGTCCGACCTCTCGTCCAGGTCCTCCGCTATGAGCTGCAGGGCCACAAACTGCTGGGTGGCGAAGGCCAGCTCCAGAGCCTTGGAGAAGTGGCCGGCCTGTGGATGGCGGGGCACTCTGAGCGGCCGCCCGGGCCCCAGGTCCCGAGAACGCCCGAGTGGCGCCCCCGGCACGGCGGCAGGCCCCGGGGTACCCGGCCGCTGGCTCACCTTGTGGTACAGCATCACCGCCCTGTCCACGTGCTCGCCCTTGTCCTCGTAGTAGAGCGCCGCCTCTGTCATGTCCTCGGGGGAGCTCAGCAGGGCCAGGTTCATGAGCTGGTCGTCCAGGCCGTTCTCCTGCGGGGATGGGGTCGCCAGGGCCTCCTGTGCACTGTGCTGAGGGCGCCCGAGGAGCCCACCGCCCCTGCCCGGCACGCTGTTGGTCTACGTGACTGTGGTTTCCAGTGTCGAATGTCTCCCCGGGTCTGCACACAGAATTCTGGGGGGGCTCCCTTCTCTTCCTATTAACAATGTTGTAGGACCTATCTGACACGAGGGCTCTCCAGGCTGGGCGGGGACACTCTCGCCCACTCAGAATGTCCCTCCTTGCTGTGCACAGGCCCCAAGCGCCAAGCCAGCCTGAGTGCTCGCTTTTGCAAACACCGCCAAGGAGGCTGCGGCAGGCGGATGGGGGGCGGATGCTCCCGGCGCCCAGAGTGAGGCGGGCGTGGTGGAAACAGGCCGGGGTGGGGAATAGGGCCTCGCGATACAACTCTCTCCTCTTTCTGAAGTGACCTGGACGGAGCCTCCCACCTGCCCGGCTTTAGCCACCAGGGGCTGCACGCCGGCCGGCCGCCTACCTTGCACAGGCGGATGGCGTTGTTGAAGGCCTGTGCGCGCGCGTAGAAGTGCACTGCCTGCCTCACCTCCTCCTGACTCTCGTACTGGCGGGCCAGATGATAGGACGCGGCCCAGTTTCCGCTCTCATTTGCGATCTCAGCAGCCTGGAAAGAGAGCAGGGAGCCCTGGGGCCATGTCTCTGCCTCCCCACGCCCGGCAGGCCTGCCCCCTGCCCCCTCCGACCTTCTTTGTTATTTTTTTTTAATGGTTATTTATTTTTGAGAGAGTGAGAGATGCAGAGAGTGAGCAGGGGAGGGGCAGAGAGAGAGAGGGAGACACAGAATCGGAAGCAGGCTCCAGGCTCCGAGCTGTCAGCACAGAGCCCGACGCGAGGCTGGACCCCACGAACCATGAGATCATGACCTGAACCGAGATAGGAGGCTTACCCGACTGAGCCCCCAGGCGCCCCAGAGGCGTCTACCTTCTGGATGTTGCCCTGGAAGCAGTGGATGCGGACCAGGGAGAAGTAGTCCTGTGCCAGCTCGTAGTAGTGCAGTGCGGCGTCCATCTCTGCCTGGCTCTCCAGGTACTGGGCCCACCACCTCCACAGGGTCCTGGGGGGAGCCCACGATCCCCTTCAGGGCCTGCACACCCTGGAAAGGAGCCCCGGGACCCCAGCACCACCGGCAGCCAGGAGGGCGCAGCTCTGCAGGAGAGCACGGATGCCTCATGCTCCGCCCACCCCGCCACCCACCCGAGGGAAGCAGCGGCAAGATGCCCCTGGGCACCACGGCCAACCCTGCGTCTGCCCACCACCTGGCGGCGACACTAACTTGTCCTTCATCTTATTGACGTAGAGCTCCAGGGACTGTGGGTCCTCCGAGAGCATCCTGGGCACCTCGAAGCGGTGGGTGTCCGACTTCTCGTAGCTGCAAGGCCAGCGGGGCAGTGGCTCCTCCCGTGGTCTCAGCGCTGCCGGCGACCCCAGGCCCGGAGACCAGAGCCCAGCGCGAGACGCTCGGGGGCCTGAGGTTCTGACGAGACTGAGCTCCTGCTGCCCTGCGGAGCCTCCCACCCAGAAGGCTGCCACCTGCTCTGTGGCGGGGCCTCAGCCTACAAGCTTCTTCTGAGCGCCTCCAAGGCCCTCCCCGGGGCAGAGCATGAAGCAGGGGCATGCGGGCCCCTCCCGGCCCTCCCCACGGGCCCTCGCTCACTGGCCAAGGGAGCAGGGGAACAGGGGCCCGTCCCGGCCCTCCCCGCGGGCCCTCGCTCACTGGCTGAGGGCCAGGCTGCGGTCAGCGCTGGCCTCCAGGTGCCTGGCGTAGTTGTAGTAGGTGGTGCGCAGGTGGATGCGGTCCCGCAGTTCCGCTGCCTCCACGGCCTTCTGCCACTGGTCGGACGCCTGGTACAGCTTGTTGAGGAGGTCGTAGCGGCCGCACTTCCGGTACAGCTGCTCGGCGTCCTCCTGGAGAGGGGAGAGCGAGCGTGGGCCCTCGGGCTCCATGAAGCCTGCTGGTGTCCCCTGGGGGTGGCGATGCCCAGGCCAGCGTGGCAGTGTGTCCCGCGGGGAGAAAGCATCAGCCAGGAAGGCTGGGGGGCTGCCCTGCATGCCGGGGAGGAGACCCCACCTGCTGCACCGTCCTGCGGACCCCAACCCCACCTGGTCTCCCAGGTGCATGACGGCCTGGGAGTCTCACGCACGTGCCTGAGACGGGGAGGACAGCGGAGGAGGACACAGGCCTCGGTGGCGCCTCAGGGGCCTCGCCCTGCTTTCTGGCGGAAGCTAGTGACCCAGAGGAGCAGACGCAATGGCCTCCCCAGTGGGGCCAGCCGCAACCCTACCTCTGCCGCAGGGCAGCCCCCCCCCCCCCACCCCTTGCGCCTCCCGCCCGCCCTGGGGCTTTGCCGGACTCACCAGCATGCCCAGCTGTATGGCCAGCACGGCCACCCTGGCCTCCAGCTCTGGCTCCTGCTCGGCCTCGCGCAGCGCTCGGGCTCCGCGCGCGTGGCCCATGTTCCCCAGGCACACCTTGGCGACGTCCAGCCGCTGGGTCTTCACGCACACGCGGGCCATGTTCTCCCAGACTGCCTCGCTGTGGGGGGGACATGGCAGCCGTGTCAGCTTGGGGCCCTCGCGCCACCAGCCCCACAGAGACGCGTGCCGGATGGGCTTCCTCGGCACAGCGATACGGCAAACCGGGGCCCCGACTCCTCCCGGGGCTGAAGGCCACCTGCGTGTCCTCTGCAGCCGACAGGGCCAGGGACGTGCTCAGGACTTTTTCCTCCCTGCCTTGATGGCCTTCTGCTGTGCAAATGCTCCTCTGAAACACACCTGTCCATGCCCTCAGCTGGGCCGAGGAAGAAGGGAAAAGGCCACAGGGAGGGGGGGCCGTAGAACCTTCACACCCCAAGGGGCCTGGGGAAGGGGGTGCGGGGCCCCAAGCCTGATGGACTGAGGACCAGTGCATGATGCCCAGCGTGGGGTCGGAGGGCCCCTCATCTGGGCTGAACAGAGGCAGGGGTCCCAGCACATCCCCCGGACCCCGTCCCTGTCCTCATGCCCACGGGCCCCCGTGACCCCACGCAGCCCCAAGGAGGGGAGGTTCGGAGGCATGGGTCCCACCCCCCACCTTAACCTTCCAGCAACCTCTCTCCTGCCAACAATGACCTGGGGCTCCTGCCCTCCCTGGGTCTAGAAACTTCTGCCTTGAGGTAGCTTCCCCCTCCCACCTTGGGAAACAATAGAATTCAGGGGTCCTGGCGCTGTGCACCCTGCACTCAGATCCTCTCTGCACAGCGCGGGCAAGGAGAGGGCGGCTGGGTCTGCGGCGCCCCTGGGGCCCCCGGCTGTGTGGTCAGTGCATCTAACCGCAGCCTTGCCTGTGAAGAGCGGGACTGCTGAGGAACGGGGAGGGAGGGAACGCTTGTCAGGGCAGAACCTCCTGTCAGCGGAGGCACGTGAGCACGTGGCCGGGGCTCCAGGAGGGCCGGCGGTGGCCGGTGAGCCTGGTGGTCACAGTCAGAGCGCAGGAGCTCTCTTCCGGCTCACGGAACTGATGGAGTCGCTGCCCCTCCTCCGCCAGGCGGACGAGCCAGGGCTGCCTCGAGGTACTGGATGGAAACAGGCTCCCCCTCCCTTCCGGACGCGTTCCACATCAGAGCCTTCTTTAACGTACTCTCCACCCGAGGCTGAGACCAGCGTGGGGGCGGGCCGGGGCCCGGGGTCCTCGTGTGTCCCCACCCTCTGCCGAGTTGTGAGCACAGATGGCTGCCATCTGCGTATGATGGAGGGGCAAAACCCAAAGAAGCAAAGGAACCCGGCGGCCCATCTCAGCTCTTTCCCAACTCGGTTTCCGGTGCACTCCTAGGCTAGAGGGGTCCGGCAGGCCGTACACACGAGCAGGGAACAAGCATGCGTCGGGAGGACAGCCCGAGCCCTGGCCGCGGGGCTGAGGCTGTGGGCCCGGCAGCCCCGCCACCGGCCTGCACGCAGGACCGGGGGCCCTGGGCTTTGGACAGCCGCCAGCCCGCTGCAGCTCCGCGCTTCCTGTCGTCCCCGCCACGACGCGCTCACATCTGCACTTCATCAACATGAGAGACGCTGACGCCAAGGCACACGGGCTGCCTGCCGAGGGGCCTGGCCTCAAGATGGCCTCTCTTGGAAGAGCTGCCGGAACTGGCCCCTGAGGCCCCTCTTCTCGGGCTTGCCCCTCAGGCTTGCAGGGTTCACGGCCTCCCGGTGCACCCAGCAGCCCCGGCTTCGCCGCTCTTAGCTCCCGCCACAGTGCCCGGCGCAAGCAGCTCTGGGGCACAGGGAGGGCCCTTGGGGGTTTGGGTGCCCAGGGTGGGCCCCGCGGTCCCACGGGTGGCTGAGGAGGGTCCTCTGTGGGCAGGGCCAGATGGCCGATGGCCTGACAGGAGGACCCAGTGAGTGGCCTGGGCCTCCCTGCCTCACCTGGTAGAGGGGCTGGAGGGAGCTGACCCAGTAGCCACCAAAGTCCACCCTGGGAGAAGTGACCTAAATAAATGAGGGGGAGGGGACTGATCCCTTCTAAAGGAAGACGGGGGAGAGGTGCCTTGGCGAGGTGACCCCTGTACCATGCGCTCAGGGACTCGGAATCACACGCTGGTCCCAGACCTTGGAGAAGGGGGCCATAGGCGGAGGGCTAGGGGTGCCCCTGGAGGGCAGACAGGACCCTGCCCCCCCCCCCCCCCCCCCCCCCGCCTCCGGGAGGCTGGAGCAGAGGCAGGAGAGAACACAAGCCAAGGAAAGAAGGCAGGTGGGAAGAAGTCAGCCGGCACGTTTGCTACGAAGGACACGTGCTGTGACACGAGCAAAGCCCATCAGGGACCCAAAGCACAGACGTTGTCTTGAGACTTATGATTCTCCAAGGACCTGCCCACCCCCCCCCCAACCGCCTTTCAGGGACATAGGCTTGGTGGCGTGGGGCTCCCCGAGGCAGCAGGCACAGGGCCCCCCCCCCAAGAATGGGATGCAAAGTCAGGGGGGCTGTGACTGTTCCCGCCATCCTGATGTTGTGATAATCAGCGAATCAGCGCAGCCTAAGCACTCGCCACGTTAAGACCATGCACGTGACCCCAGACTGACTTCTCTCCCTGGGTCTGCTTTTATCAACGCTGGTGAGAAACTAAGCCTGATTTACATGACGGGTCACGTGGGGAAAGTCTGTGACTCCAGGTACCTGACTGTCCTTGAGACTGATGGCGCGGCAGGCTTGAACGTACTTTTTGAACACAACGGTTACTAATCTCACGATGACCGCTTGCCATTGAATGAATTGTAAAACTGAACCCCCCTCCCCCTGCGCACACACACACAAGGGGCCGAGGCTTCCAGGACACGAGGTGGTGAAGTCGTTGGAACTCTCCAGAGCTCCAGAAGCGGCAGGTGAGCAGGGCACAGGCGTCCCAGGTGCCGACAGGGCCAAGCCGAGGGGACCGAGCCCGTCCCTCTCCAGATTGTCGGGCCCCTCTCGCAGGTGTGTGGCCTCCTCTCCCATAACGAGGGCGCCCGGTGCTGGCCGGGAAGCTAGTGAAGGCGGCGAGCAGCCAGAGGGGCCCGAGGGCTTTCCCCGCGCGATGTCCAGGGTACGTGTGTTTGTAGAGGGGGGCGCGGGCGCCGCTCTCTCTGTGCACAGCCGCTCCGGGGCCACGGTCGGGCACGGGATTCTCCAGTGGGGTGACACGGCCTCCCCCGAGTGTCTGCACACGCAGAGGGGCTGCAGCCCCCTCGGCAGGGACATGCCCTCTGCCCTCAGGCCCTGCTGGGCCACCTGCCCTGCACGTCCAGAAGCCCACCTTCTTGCACCTCCAGGACAATGCTCTGGCCCGGCAGGTCTGCAGGTGTGGCTCCAACCCAGGCAAAGGCCTGTGTCAGGAGGCTTCTCTACCACGCCCGGCCATTTCCTCCACCGTCTGTGAACTGCCACGACGAGGGCCGGGGCACTGTGGGTTGCCGGTACCTACGCGCTAGGGGAACGGCCGGCAAATCCCTACAGCCGGTGACTGGCCACCAGAGCCCTGCCCGTCCTGAGCTGGGTGCAGATGTCCCCAGGCCCAGCGCAGGGGCTCATGCTCCGGGCGGTTATCTGCCGCCGTGGTGCCCGAGTGCCAGGCTGGCGGGACCGTGGGCCTGCTCCGGGAGGGCAGGGGAGGAGGGCCCCGGAGCAGGGCTTCAGAAGCCCCCCGCTCTCCTCTCAGGAAATGTGTCCTGTCGGCGTCTGGTTGCAGCAGCCTTGCCGCTCTTTGTTGCAGTTGGCTACGCCCTCCATCCAGCTCACAAAAAACAGCCTCAAAAACAACCATTTCCTCTCTGCCGAGGGGGGGACACACGCGCGCGCCGCACACACACAGACGCACAGGCACTTCCCCGCAGCAGGCCCTCTGCCTTCCAGGACCGGCTGTTCCGTGGAGGAGGCACAGGGCAGGGGCTCGGGCAGCCAGAGGCTGAAGCGCTCCGGCACAGCTGAACTGGCCCGACTCGGAGCCCGGCTGCTGGGTTTGCTCCGAGGAGCTGGTTCTAGGGAGCCAGGCGGGACATACCCCCACGTCGCCGCCCGCCTCTCCGGTGGCTCACGGGGAGGAGAGGCCTAGCTTCTCAGGAAGACGGCGCACGCACCACTCTGGACTGTTGCTGGCGCCCCGGATCCCTCCCCGGGATGGGCGGAGAGGCTGGCTGCAGCTGGGGCCTGGCCCTGCTCCAGGTGCAGGAGGGAGGGTAAGGACGGGCCCAGGTGGGCTCACCGGCACCTGTCACATGGGCCTTCCAGACGCCTCTGAGAATGAGCGGTGATGTCCTCTAGCAGCCCCTAGCTGGTCTCGGCTCTCCCTGGCCACAGCGACTGACCGGGGCTGGGACTTTCTCCAGGACAAGCGGACGGCACCGGCAGTCAGCGATGACTGTTCAGAAACTGGTGGCCACAGCAGTGCTGGTGGCCCTGGTCTCTCTTGTCCTCAACAACGCGGCGGCCTTCACCCCCAACTGGGTGTACCAGACGCTGGAGGACGGGCGCAGGCGGAGCGTGGGGCTGTGGAAGTCCTGCTGGCTGGCAGATGGGACCCGGGGAGGGCCGAGCCCCGGGGCCCGGCTGGGGCCGGCGGACGCCAGAGACTGTGAGGCCCTGGGCTGGGGCTCCGAGGCGGCAGGCTTCCAGGAGGCTCGAGGCACCGTCAAACGTAAGTCTGCCGACTTCTCCGTCTCCTTTAGAACGGTCGGGGCACGTCGTGGGCATGGGGCGCGCGTCTGGTGATGGGGACCCGGGCAAACCCCGAGCTCTGCGCCCACCCTCCAGGGGAGCCCCGGCCACAGTTCTGCTGAGCCAGACCTGACTCTGGCTCCTTTTGGGTGGAATTCTTGGAAGAGCATGGGGCTTTTCTCTGCCTTTATGCAAAGCTATGGGGCAGATACATTAACGAAATCAAGGAAAATACACTCTCTTTGATGGAAAATACAGATCGTTAGTGAGTGAAATAAGCAAGAAGCTTAAAAACACGGCTGAGTTCTGACTTCATTCCACGGATTGACAGAGTCGTTCAGGCAGCGACTCGGGTCAGATGGCAGACAGGACCTCTGGGAGGGGACCAGCCTGGGGGCAGGGAAGGGGCTCAGGACAGTGGCTCTGGAGAGCAGAGCCCCTCATGGGTCTGTCCCCGCCCCAGCTGGTGGCCCGCGGCCGGTCTGTTCACCACTCTGGAAGGGGGGAACAGGACTTTGACCGTGGGGTCGGGTTTGAGGGTAGGGGAGCAAAGGGCTCACGGGTGTAAGACACTTGTCACCTAATGTGTCACCTATGTGGTCACAGTGGCTGACAGGCAGAGGTCTTCCGGAGTGGACCCTGTGAAGCTGCTGCTGAGGGTCTAGCTCCAAGATCAGCAGGAGACCGAACTCGAGCTGGTCCTTTAGAGAACGTGAGGCTTCGGTGGGGGTTGTGTAACTGCTCTTGGAGGGTGTCCCCAGAGTCCTCATCGGTGACTACCCCCACCTGCCACATGCCGGGGGCCCTGCCCGGCTCAGGGGCCGGGGTGGGGGTGGGGTCCCATTCCACAGGCAGAGACAGAGGCTGCAAGAGGCACGTGCTCCACCGAGGTCCCTGTGGGGAGGCCACCCCAGTTTTTCCGCCCAGAGCCCCTTCCTCTGGGTCTGGGGGTCTCCTGGCGGGGGGGGGGGGGGGGGGGGGGGGGGGGGGGGGGGGGG